TTCCAAGGCTGTAAATCTTTATGGGAGCAGAAAGCCTCATCTTTCTCCTACAGAACAACTGGTAGTTTCGAACTGCTGGCCTTGAGGTTAGCAGCCCGATTTGTAACCACTTCACTACCAGAGCTCCTTAATGGAATACTACAAAACACTGAAGAGTAACGATGAGCCTGTGAAACACCTGACAACATGGCTGAACCTGGAGGACATTATGCTGAGATAAATTAGTCAAGAACAAAACACTTTATGAGACCAATATTGTAAAAAGCTTTAGAAAAAACAAAAAAGGTTTTCTTGATAAAAGAAACAATCTATGACGGTTATGGGGGCGCACTCATGTTAACAAAGGTGACAGAGCAGACAATATAACTAGAGGGAGGCTAGCAGAGGAAAGACCAAGGTAGCAGGAGATAAAGAACAATCCAATAGCTAAAGAGAACAGAGGTAAAAGCTGTTAACTGTTGGCACAAGGAGGGGATTGCAACCATGTCATGAAGCAAAGCATATGATTTGTTGAATGTAAAACTGATAATCTACTCTGTAAACCTTCAGTCAATTCACAATAAAAAGCTAACAATTAAAAAAAGAGACCTACAAAAATAATTTATCACGCTCATAGATAGGAAGATTTAACATTGTGAAATGTCAACACTACCCAAGGTAATCTACAGAAATAACACAACCCCAAACCAGATTTCAACATCATTCTTCAGAGATGGAAAAACGACTCACTCACTAACTTTATGTAGAAAGGAAAGAGACCCCGCATAAGGAAAGTAGTACTAAAAAAGAACAATATGATGCCTCTTTTTTTTATCTCTCACAGCCAGAGTAGCCAAAACAGCCTGGTACCACTACAATGAAAGGCAAATAGGTTGATGAAACAGAATTGAGTATCTAGAAGTAAATCCAAATCTAAGGTTAGGTGATCTTTGCCAAAGGGCCAAGACACATTAAATGGGGAAGAGAGAGTTTCAACAAATAGTGCTAGCAAACTGGAAATCCATTTACAAAAGAATGAAACAAGACCCATATCTCACACCATTTACAAAAACAAACTCAACATTAATAAAAGACCTAAGTGTGAAATTTAGAACTATAAATATCAATTAAAAATAGGGGCAAACTTAGGGGCTCTGATACACGGCATAAATATACTATTAATCATACACGAAAACACACAAACAGAAGACAAAATAGATGACTGGGGCCTCCTAAAAATTAAGATATTTAGGTTCATCAAAAGATTTCATCAAAAGAATAAAAAGAGGACTTAAAGACTGGGAAAATTTTTTGGCAATGACCTATCAACAATGGACTACTCTCTAAAACTTATAGAACACTTCAACAAGACAAATAATCCAATTAACAAATAGGCAGTTATGAATAGATACTAGACATTCAGGTAGCCAACAAACATGTAAAAAAATTCTCAAGATTCTCCTTAGAGGGATACAAATCAGAAAATGAGTTATCATCCTACCCCAGCATTGGTAATAAAGTTCAAAGAAACAAAAAACAATAAATGCTAGTGAGATGTGGAGAGACTGGAATCCCATAATGTTGGCGGGATTGCAAAATAGTACCCCTATGGAAAGTGGGATGGCACTTCCTCAAAAAGTTGGAGCTAGAAATACCATAAGACCCAGCAATCCCTCTACTTGATATATATCCTCAAGAATTCAGAGCTGTTTGACACAAATAGATATATGCACACCCATGTTCACTGCAGCACTACTCACAACAGCAAAAAGTTTGAGACAGCTTAAATGCCCACAACAGAATGGTTAAACAAACTTTGATACATATATACTATGGAATACCACGCAACAATGAAGACAGTTTATTTGTTAAACACCTTATAACATGGATGAACCTGGAGGACATTATGCTGAATCAATCACAAAAGAACAAATATTGTATGAGACCAGTATTGTAAAAAGTTTAGAAAAGATTTTCTTGCTAAAACATTCCATGAAAGTTACCAGGGGTGAAAGGGAAGGGAAAATTATTCACAGAAAGACAGCAGACACATACTGCTTGGGTGATCGGGAAGACGATATACAAGGAGGTTGGCACAGGAAAGGATGAATGTAGTGGAAGACACAGGGAGGAGTGCAAGAGTTACAGTAAATAGAAGTATAAACTGATGATACATGGAAGGGATTGCAACCACTGTAATGACACAAAGTCTCTGACTTGTCAAAGCATACACAACAGATTTGATTGGTTCTGTAAACATTCAATTCACAATAAAGTGTAAAAAAAAAAAGTGTTAAATCCATCCACTTGTATTTGTTATAGCAGCACTAGGTAACCAAGATTATGTCTTAATGTATATAGTATTTAATATACACCCCAAAGTAGATGAAATAGAAACCAAGTAAACAATGGGATAAAACACCCTTTCACTATCATACCAAAACATACCTAGACTTTGCATACCTAGACTTGTTATAAACTAAATTTCTCCAAAATACATGAAATAAACAAACTAGATATGGAAAAGAATCATGTTTCTGTGTGTAAAGAGTATTCCACATTTTTTCCCTTTTAAAAGTAAACCTTATTTTGTGGATCCATCAGAATTTTCTTATCAAATAATGAAGATATTACATACACCATTTTTGTTGTTGCTGTTTTAATTAAAGCAGTTCTAGAATGTCAGGTATTGATTGGTTTGTTATGTGCAATGAAATCAAGTTTTGACTCAAAGCAACCCTGTATAGGGTTTCTGAGGCTGTAAATCTTTACTGGAGCACAAAGCCTCATCTTTCTCCCATGAAACAGCTGGTAGTTTCAAACTGCTGACCTTGAGATTAGCGGACCAACTCATAACCACCACTTTCTTGTGTTAAGGAAATTAACATGTCAGATTTTTCTACATCATTTTTATATTTGACATCTATTATAGATGAGTACATGAATTGTTTGATTACTATTAATACATTTCAAAATACAAAGCCATCCATGCATAATGCAATATATTAATACATTGTGAATTTTGATGTTCTTTATTTCACTTAGGGTGTTCCTTTCTGCACTTATATGCTTTTGTTTTTTGGCAAGAGAATCATGCTACAGAATAGTTTCTATTCTGACTGCAGTGCTTTCTTTAGAATTATGGCAATCAGTCCAAATAGTTTTATCTTGAAATGATGACCTCTAGTGGAATAACACAATCTAGTATCCACAATAACTTATTCTTACACTTGAACTATGTTATTAAACTTGGTTTCACATTGCAAACATTCTAGCTTTAAAACTCTCCAAAAATAAGTTAAATGAGCTGCCAGTTGCTTTTGAAACAAACAGTATTGCTATTAATATCTGTTGTATTATCCAAACTTGAAATGATACACACACGTGTGTATATATATATATATATATAAATGGAATTAAAAGGGAAAATTTCCACAAACTTTTTGAAGCTCCTTCATGTTCATGTTTAATTAATGTTTCCCACTGAGGCCTTAAGGAGAGGAGTCAACAAGTGTATTTATTCATTACTTGTGTGGTGTCTTTTCTTTTTGCCCTTCCAAATCTACTCTTCAACCTGCTACATCAAGGGGTTTCCTAGCCTTCTGGTTTCTCTTGGATGCAACTGACACAAACGCCAGGAGATCATATGGAAAATAATGAGATTCATGGATTTATTTCCTTCAGCTTTTTAATTTATAAGATAAATGGAGCAAAGTTACATTATTGGTCAAATCCTGTCATGTGGAGTGAACTTTACTGGGCTGCTAACCCAAAGACTGGGAGTTAAAACTTACTACCTGCTTTACAGGAAAAACATGTGCAGTCTGTTTTCATAAAGATTTCTTGTTGTTACGTGCCATCGTCGGTTCCAACTCACAGCGACCCTGTACAGGGTTTCCAAGGAGCAGCTGGTGGGTTTGAACCGCCAACCTTGTGGTTCAAACCAATCTTGCAGTTCAGTGCTTTATTCCACAGTGCCACATCAGGACTTGGAAATCTTATGGAGTGGTTCTACTCTGCCCTATAGCATAGCTACAAGTAAGAATCAACTTGATGTCAATGGGTTTGGTTTTCTAAATATTCACATGTTGTTGTTAAGTACCGTGGAGTGGGTTCTGACTCACGGCGACCCTGCACAGGGTTTCTGAGGCTGTAAATCTTTACGGGAGCAGAACGCCTCATCTTTCTCCTGCGGAACAGCTGGTAGTTTCGAACTGCTGACCTTGAGGTTAGCAGCCTGACTCATAACCACTACGCTACATAAAATCATCATGGATTTCATACAATGACCAATCCTTTTTTTGATTTCAAGCTTTTTGATAAAACTATCTATGCAATGCTAGATAATTTGGATAAGCACTATAGGACAGCTTCAATGACATGAAAAGAAAACATGCCAATTGTGAAATAATCAAAAAGCGTTTGAATTATTTTGATGAGACAAGGTATTTTAAAAAATATTTATAGTCAAATGTTTATAATGAAACAAATACACATACACAATGCTCTTGCTATTTCTCAATTTAAGTAACACTTTTACAGAGCCCAAACCTTTCTTTTAGGTAATAAATCCTCACAGAAAATTTCATTCTCATAAAAAACAAAACCAAAACACTGTAATATATAATTAGGTGAAAATATAGATTTCGTTTCCCCACATCCTCAACATTACTTTTTTTCTTGATACAGAAATAAATGGTAGTGAGTTTGACAAATAGACTTGATATGGAGTCACTGACAAATACATTCTACATTAACAGGTTTTGACACTAACAGCTGATAAGCTACAGGTTATCTGCAGTTTCAACTCAGAAGAACGTTTAAAACTAGTATACTGAAATTTACTGAAAAAAACAAACAAAAAATACTAGCAATGAAAACAAAATCACTGACTCCTGATTTTGAAAATGACTATCGCCTTTTATTAAATTTTTCCTGGCGTAAACCTCAGGAAAAGGAGAATCAGTTTTAATACAATGAACATATGAAACTACTATTAATTTGATATAGACAATAGACAATTGTCTCACATTTATGTTTGTTAAAAACTGGCATAAACAAAAAAACCTGTACAAAAAAATATCTGAAATCACTTTGAAACAATAATCTTGAAAGACATTATCGCCTAGGACCCCCTCTTCCTCTACCACGGCCTCTTCCTCTTCCTCTACCTCGGCCTCTTCCTCTTCCTGCAACTGAGGGAAAAGAAAAACAAAGCAAGTAAAATCCTCTGCTGAAGCAACATTACCTAGCCATCACAAACAGCATTCAGACACACACATTTTTTTCCTCCCATTATAGTTCCTAATGAACAGCTGTAACTCTTTATGAGACTTTCATTTACATATACAAGTTGGACATAACTAAGTCCTTCTCAAAAACACTTGCTAATAGGCAAATACATCCCAAGTCAGGCAACTGGGATTTTTTTTTAGTGAGAAAATCAGCTTCAAGAAGAGAGCTTAGGTCCTTAGGATCTCCTCAATGAAGGAGTTAATTCTGGGATCATCCTATAGTGAGGTCCACCTTCTGAGGAATCCAGCCTACCTCCCCAGGATTTCCTTTTCACCTAACTACTCATGAATGAGGAGCTCTGCAAGCGTAGTGGTTACGAATCGGGCTGCGAACCTTAAGGTCAGCAGTTCGAAAACTACCAGCTGTTCGTGGGAGAAAGATGAGGCTTTCTGCTCCCATAAAGATTTACAGCCTCAGAAATCCTGTACAGGGTCACTATGGGTCGGGAATCGACTTGACAGCATTTAACAACAACAACTCATGAATGGTCAAAGCTCTCAAAATACTTAAGTAAAATGTCACAAAGCAAAACTATAGGCAATTTCCTACAGTGACGAAAAGATTTTATACTAGTAAAACAAGAACAGGGTCCTAAAAAATAAGACCAGAAAACTTATATACAAGTAAATTTCTTAACTCTAAAAAGCAAGAATATATACATTGAAAAGCCCCACAAAGTACCCACAAAATTGGGGGGAAGAATAAAGGGAGAGGAGAGAAACTCTATACATTAAGAAATTCAGAATACTAGGAATAAACTTAATTTTTAAATCTTCCAAAGTAAGGATGTGCATCATCGGTGTCTTTTAATAGCAACATCAGGATAAACATTGATATGAACCATTCCAAATAGAAATTTTTAAACAAAAAAAAAAATTGTCATTGTTCATAAATCTCTGGTGTATTTAGGTATATAGCACTTTTGGATAACAGAAACCCTGTAAAGGGAGGCTATGAGTTAGAACTGACTAGACGGCACTTAACAACAACATAAATGTCTATATTCTGAATATAGTGAATAATGGATACATGAACAGTTACTGCTTTAAACTTACCAGCTTCCCTTTTCTTGGATTTCACCTTTGGTTCCACATCCACAAGTAGTGTATCCAGAGGCAAGCTGTCTGGCAGAATAAAATATCGAATATTATTTCCTCGAATACTCAGTGTTTCTAGCTGTACAGGTTCTCTGTTCTTCAGGGTCATTTTCACAGCTTTAAGATGTGTGTTCATGCTAACATCCACACCTAAGAGATAAAAATAAAACAATAATTAGCAGAAGAAAGGTAATCAATTAGTCTCTTGAGCCAGGGTAAATATTATAAAAGAATGTTCTGCTGTAATGTGAGTTTCTAGGGCACATTTTAGCACACATGCCATTAGAAAGTGAGAGAGTAAGGTCAGAATAAATCAGAAGTCTTTCTTTCATGGGAGATTTTTCCTTAGCCTGTTAATGTCTTGCATAATTAGGCATGCTTACAATAGCGAACGAAGCAAGACTGGAGAAACACTGACTGGTAACATGCCTTATGTCCACTGTCCCCATGCACCCTCTTTCAGTTTCAGGTTGGTTAAATGCTTATTGCATGTTCTCTTAAATCTTTCTGCACTAAACATTGTCATAACTTCTGCACACCTCATTCCAAGTTATCCTCATCTTTGTTTCAAAGAAAAAAAGTAAAGTTCTATAATTACCTTATCAGGTTTCCTCATTAGCTAGGAATTTAACGTGCCACTTTATCAAAAGTTTTTTTTCCTTCTTAAATAAAGTTTGTTTCTGTTTTTGTGCTCAGATTAAAAAGATGTAGAGATTCTGGGTCTGCCCAGCCTATCTTTTCCAAAAAGCCATAATTTTAGTAAGATTTTATACAATACAAAGCAAGATTTTAAGAATGAATATAGTAAAAAAAAAAAAAAAAAAGAGAGAGAGAGAATGAACATAGTAAGGAAATTCTGATATAGCAAGCACTACAGGATAAGCAAGTGGACTGCAAACTGCAAGGTCAGTAGTTCAGGCTCACCAGCCACTCCTTGGAAACCCTAGACAGGGTCTCTAAGAGTTGGAACCAACTCGATGATACCTAACAACAACATAGTAGGGAACACCTGATTATTGGTGCCTTCACCAATTGATTATCTGAATAATCAAAACCCAACTGTCACCCAGTAGATTCCTACTCATTATTTGACTCTGTCGTACAAAGCAGATTGCCCTATAGAGTTTCCAAGGCTGGAGTTAATTTTCTAAGGGTTTCTATGAATCCTTATGGACGAAAATACCACATCTTTTTTCTGTGGAGTGGCTGGTGGGCTCAAACTGCTGTTGTTTTGGTTAGTTGCCAAGTGTCAACAAATGCACCACCAGGCTCCTATGAAATAACTAACCCAAACCAAATTCACTACCACAGTGTTGACTTCAATTCATAATGACCCTATACCTAGTTTCTGAGACTGAAAATCTTTATCGAAGTAGACTACCACAATATCTTCCTTCTGAGAAGGGGGCTGGTAAGCTTGAATTGCTTACCTGAAATTAGCAGCCCAACACCTAACTCACAGCACTACTAGGGCTCTCTATGTAATAACTAAAGACCTACTTAATCTTTTTCTTTAGAAAATTAGGGTCAGGAAACATGAATTCTCAAGCTTCTCAACATCAACCTCAATTTTTTCAGTTTTACTAATGCTTTTCTCCTTACCCCCCAGTCGAAGGAAGAAGAGATTCCCTTTCCTTCCCAATTATGTAATTTTGATAACATCCAATTTCCTTGGGGATCTTGACTTAGCATCTATTGTTAGCTGCTGCTTAGTCAGTGACTATATACAGAGTTTCTGAGGCTTTAAAACTTTACAGGAACAAAAAGGCTCATCTTTCCCCAACAAACTGGCTGGTAGATATGATGTGCCAACCTTGTACTACTACACCACCATCCTGATCTATCATCTAGAGAGAAGATAAGGAAGAAGGAAACACACGCACACACACACAAAGAAAAAAGCAGGCTAAGTGTTATGAGCATTTTCTGTTTTAGAATTGCATGCTAAAATATTTCATTTAATTTTCAGCATCCCTGTGGCAAATAATATGATTATTCCCACTGTAAGGACTAAAAGAATATGTACTCATTTGTATATATTCATATAGGACACAAAAGAAACTTACAAAAGACTTTCAGTAGGGAGGAAACTGGGTGTGTCTAGTTGCGTAAGAACTCTAAAGCGCTCAAGAGCAAAGATGTCAGTTTGAGAATTAAGGGCTGAACCAAGTCACAGTATTTTCAATAGGTTTATATGCAGATGAAAACTGGGACAGTGAATAAGGAAGACTGTAAAAGAACTGATGCATCTGAGTTATAGTGTTGGAGGGGAATATTAAAGGTACCGTGGACTACTAGAAGAACAAAAAAAAATCTGTGTTGGGAGTACAGCCAGAATGCTCCATAGACGCCAGGATGGCAAGTCTTTGTGTCTCATACTTAGGACATATTATCAGGAGGGACCAGTGCTTGGAGAAGGACAGCATGCTTGGTAATGTGGAGGGTCAGTGAAAAAGAGGAAGATCCCCAGTGAGATGGATTGGTACAGTGGCAGCAGCAAACTTATAAGGTGGCTCTATGAGTCTGAACCTAACACCTACAATGAGCAAAGAATTTCAATGAGCCTAAACAGAAAACTAAATACACAACAGTAAAGCATTAAGACACACAAGAAAAAAGATGGAAAAAAAACACTCCAAAATGTTAATGTAACAGTGACTGTCTTATAACAGGAAAATTATGATCATCTATCTCCCTAGTCCTGTATTTCCCCCAAGACCAGACATAGAACCATTCCTATCCCTCTTTTCAATGACTTTAAACTCAAATTTATTTAACTTCACTGTTGTGGAGTTAATTCCAACTTACAGTGACCCTACTGGACAGAACAGGATTTCCCCATAATTTCCCAAGTTGCAAAGCTTTATGGAAGCAGACATTCATGTCTTTCTCCTACCAGAGCTCCTTTTACACTCTAATAAGGGACACGAGACTGTCACCTTTGAATATTGCATTCTTTAAAAAAAATCATCCATAAAAGACCAAATGAACAACAGCACATGTGAGAACAAGGGTGAGACAACTAGAAGGGAATTAATGAGAATGCTGACAACAATGTGAAGAATGCAACCAATGTCCCTAATCATCATATTAAAGGAGAGCAAGTTTCGCTGTGCATATTTTCACCAAAAATCAAAAGAAAATATTAATAGTAAAAAACAAAATGACAATCTGTACTACAATAACGTTCATCAGGCAATCAAGAAAGAATTTTCACTTGCAAGTGGAAGAGATGAGAAAGGGAAAAAGTGTTTATAAAAACAATACCTGTGATTGTTCCATGGACCTGTGTTCCATTCTTCAATTCAATAGTTACAGTTTCATGACTCAATTTCATCAAAAACCTATAACGATAATAGGAATAAGATAATAATTACTCTTAATATTTAAAAGGAGTAGTCCTGGTGTGGCGCTGTAGGATAAGCACTCAACCACAAGGTCAGTTTCAACTGTAAGGTCAGCAATTCAAATTCACCAGCCACTCCTTGGAAACCTTATACTGGGTCACTGTGGGTCGGAATCATCTTGACAGCACTTAAGCAATGGACCGCAAGGTTGGTTTCAGGAGTTCAAATCTACCAGTCACTCCTCAGAAACCCTATACAGGGTTACTATGAGTGAGAACCAATTCAATAGCACTTAACAACAACAATTTCTACACATGTGTTTACTCATGCTGCAAATACATCCAAGAATACAGTACAGCATACAGAGGCAAAGTTATGTAAACTTTTTAGTTATAACCATACACCCTGAGGGAAGGAACTGGGCCTGGGGGCTCTGGACCATATTCTTATGGTGGGTTGGAGGGAGAAGGAGTCTGCAGGGGCACCAACATCAACTGGTAAAACACAGTCCAAGAATGCATACATCCTACTCTGGTGAATAGCAACTGGGATCTTACTCCATGACCCTGAGACCATAACTAGATGTGCCCGGATCCTATGACCAACAGCTCTACAGAAATCACATTAAAAAGTCCTGGAAAGAGTGGGAGAAAAATGTGGAACAAAACTCAAAACCATAAAAAGACCAGGCTAACTGTGATTCAGGGATTGGTGGAACCTGTGAGACAATTGTTCCTGATCATTTTTCAAGTATGGAACTGAAGTCACCCTGTGGCTTAACTTTCAGCCAAAAAACAGACAGGTCTAACAAGGGAAACAATGGTGGCACTGTGGGCTAATGCACCAGAACTGCAAAGCCGTTTGAACTGCAAGGTTGGCGATTCCACAAGTGGAATGCGAGACCTTATCCAGAGAAGCAGTGACACCAAAGATGGAGGCAGAGATGGGGACATGGAGAATATGGAGAGAGGGAGCAGCTGAGGACTCTAGATTCACGGTAAGAGAGGGACTAAGAGCTGGCGGCCAGGAAGCAGACTTGCAGAATGTGCCCTTTGGTGGTGTAAATTATTATATATGTCTGAGTGTTTAGAAAAAAAAAAAAAAAGTGCTAAAGTGAATAGAAATACTGTTAACTGATGGTGATTATTATCATCGTAATGAAACAAGGTGTATGATTTGTTGAATGGTGGTGTAAATTATTATATATGTCTGAGTGTTTAGAAAAAAAAAAAGTGCTAAAGTGAATAGAAATACTGTTAACTGATGGTACATGGAGGGGACTATAATCATTGTAATGAAACAAGGTGTATGATTTGTTGAATGTAAAAGTGATGATCTTCCCTGTAAACTTTCACTCAATCCACAATAAAAACCTTAAAAAAAAATTAAAAAAAAGACCAGAGGCCTAAACCTAAAATACTATTAAAAAAAAAAAAAACTACTACTAAAATAAGTTGTTAGAGAGGAAAACATCATTTCTTTATTTGAGGGTGTGTGAAAGTTTATTCGAAAGGACAGAGAAGTACTCCCCACTCCAAAACAAAACAAAAAACCCTCAGTTGTCATCCATCCAGTCAGTTCTACTTCATAGGGACCCTACAGGGCAAAGTCGGATCATACCACATGGTTTCCAAAGCTGTAAATCTTTACAGAAGCAGACTGCCACATCTTTTTTCTGTGGTGCAGTTGGTGAATTAGAACCAACCTTTTGGAACCATAAATGAAAAATGGGTAAATTAAGACTTCTTCAAAATAAACTAAAGAAATGAATAAACAAACAACAAATCATGACAAAATGTTATCTGATAAAGAACTGGTATCCAGAATATATAAAGTATCCCTACAACTCAGTGGATTTGCCAAGTGGCAGCATCGATGGACTCAAGCGTGGCAACAGTAGTAAGATTGGCCCAGGATTGGGCATGTGTCTCCTTCGGCTGTGCATAAGGTTGCTATGAGTCCACACCTACTAGATGGCACCTAACTACAACAACAACAAACAACTCAGCAGGAGTCCTGGTGTGGTGCTGTGGGCTAATGCATCAGACTGTAAAGTCTTTTGAACTGCAAGGTCAGTGATTCAAGCTCACCAGCTGCTCCCTGGAAACCCTACACAGGGTCACTATGGGTGGGAATTAATTCCATGGCACTTAACAACTCAGCAAAAAAAAAGAAATAAAATACAAGGGGGTTTCAAAAAGTTAATGGAGGAGAGAACAAACAAGATGGCGGATCGGGTGGACTTATAGCAGAGAGCTCCGCCAACAACAAC